CCTTTGAGAAATGCCTATTTAGCTCTTCTGCCCATTTTTTAATTGGGTTACTTGGTTTTTTGTTGTAAAGTTCTTTCAGTTCCTTGTACATTCTGGATATTAATCCTTTGTCACATGTGTATTTTGCAAATATTTTCTCCCATTCTGTTGGTTGTCTTTTAACTCTGTTAATTGTTTCTTTTGCTGTGCAGAAGCCTTTTATAGCTAAAGCAATTCTGAGCAAAAATATAAAGATGGAGGCATAACACCACCTGACTTCAAACTATACTATAAAGCTATAATAACCAAAACAGCATGGTACTGGCATAAAAACAGACACACTGATCAATGGAATAGAATAGAGAATCCAGAAATCAACCACACACTTTCAGCCATCCGATCTTTGACAAAGGCACCAAGCCTATACACTGGGGAAGAAACTGCCTCTCAGCAAATGGTGCTGGGATAACTGTATATCAGTATGCAGGAGAATGAAACAAGACCCATACCTCTCACCATATACTAAAATCAACTCGAAATGGATTAAAGAATTAAATATACACGCTGAAACAATAAAACTTCTCAAAGAAAACATAAGAGAAACACTTCACGAAGTAGGAGTGGGCACAGACTTCATGAATACAACCCCCAAAGCACGGACAAACAAAGGAAAAATAAACAAATGGGATTATATCAAACTAAGAATTTGCATTTTTAGCAAGGTCTCAGGTGTTGCTGCTTCTGTCGGTCCAGGGACCACACTAGGACAACCAATGGTCTATACTTCAACGTGACTCACAAAAAACATTTCCTACCCACTCTCCGGCTGTACCTTAAGCCACCCCAATGTATCTCCGTGTACTATCATATACTGATGGCCATATTCTTCAGAGATAGAAGTAAAGCTTATTATCTTACAATACCATACACAGTTCTCATTGACTCAGAGATTAGGTAAGAATGTATTTGTTATTATCAGCAAATGGAGCATGAAGAAACTAACAAGTGGGTTGTAAATATCAGACACAAGTGCCTTATATGGTAGCATTCTACAGGTGTAAATAATTTATTTACTATATCAGTGAGCAATGGCTGCATAACACATTATCCCAAAAAACAGCTATTTAAAATGACAAAGATTTATTATCTCATAGTTTCAGGTCAGGAATCTAGGAGCAGCTTAGCCAAGTGGTTTTGGCTCAGGGTCTGTCATGAGGGCTTCAGTCAATGCACCAACCGAGGCTGCAAACATCTCAAGACCAAACAGGAGAGGATCTGCTTCTGAGCTCACTTGCATGGCTGTTAAAAGTCTCAATTCTTTGCCACATGGGCTTCCCCACAGGGCTGCCTCTTGGCATGGCTTCCTCCCATGTGAAGCAATCTGAGAGAGAGTGAGAAAGAGAGAGTACTTAAGATGGAAGCCACAGCCCTTTTATAACCTAACATTGGAAATGCCATCCCATTGCTCTGCCCTATTCTATTCATAAGAAGTCAAGGAAAAGGGAGGAAATTATACAGGGACATGAATATTAGCAGGCAGGGATAAAAGCCCTCTTAGAAGCTACCCACCATGTAAAAAACAAACTCATGGAACCCAATGTTGTAATGAGTTGAGTACTGGCTAAATCCTGACAGTAACTAATTACAATCTTGAGGAGACTATTACTTAAGATACACTGTGTTCCCTAAAATAATTGATTAAATGTGATTTAAGTACACGGCTATTTATCTTGTTCTGGGATGGCATTATAAAATGGTTCTACTGTAACATTCTGAAGTATAATTAATAATTATAATAATAATGGCAAGTTCTTATAGGCAAAAAGAAATAAACATCCACTTAGTTATTGGTTTAGTAATAGTTTTAATAATGACACAAAGCATGAGATCAACATTGATCAATAGTATTTCAAGCCTCTAAAATATATTTCTACATGGATCAACATTTTGTGAGGTTTTGGACTTGGGTTAAACTTTCCTTACAAAAAGGTATCACTGAATCAGAAAAGGGAAGTGATTTCACTGAGTCCCACATGCCAGTATTTAACGCATCTTGTCATCTTGTTTCAGCCTCACCAGATCCCTATAAACCCAGGAGACTTGGGCTCAGCAATGTACTAGGGTACTTCAAAAAGTTCACGAAAAAATTGTATTACGTTAAATTCTATTTTCCCAGAAAGTGTTGAAATATCCTTGTAAATATCCCACCCAAGATCCCATATCTCTAGATGACTCTAAAAGGATTTTTAGAGTCATCTAAAGGATGCTGCCTTCCTAACCACTTAGGGTATTGTTCGGCTCTATGGTTCATTAAGTATGCATAGTCCCAGAGATAGTATTATTATAAGCAAAGCAAAAGCACATGTCAACTTCTATATCATATAAGCAGAATCCAAGTTGTTTGTCTTTTTTTTCTTTTTTTTTTTTGATAATTTGTTATACACACATGCAGGGTACAACGTTGATTTTCAATGGTTGTCTACAATGTGTGATGGTTAGATCAGGATAGTTAGCTTATTCATGGTTACAATATGCAATCATTCTTTGTGTCTGTTGACCAATTCCTCCCTAGCCCCCTCCCTCCCCTCTCCCCTCCCCTTTTCCACCTTAGTTTTCTAAAAGTTTAGCTGATACTAGAGTTAACTTTAATTATGTAATACTACTTGGACATATAGGGTGCCTCAAAAAACAAACAGACCCACAGTTTTAAAGGTTTAGGCTCTGGGCTGAGCCCGTGGCGCACTTGGGAGAGTGCGGTGCTGGGAGCGCAGCGACGCTCCTGCCACAGGTTAGGATCCTATATAGGGATGGCCGGTGCGCTCACTGGCTGAGCGTGGTGTAGGTGACACCACACCAAGGGTTGCGATCCCCTTACCGGTCATGAAAAAAAAAGACCAAAAAAAAAAAAAAAAAAAAAGGTTTAGGCTCTAATACAGTCTGTTGGCGTGTTTAGAATATGTCCAGCTGCTTTCAACCTTTTTGAATTTCTTTTCCTGCTTAATGAGTCCATGTCTGGGAAGGTAGATCTGGAAAGTAACCTCAGCTTTCTGAGTACCTACTATGTCTTAATCAGAAGCAAACCACATCCATGCTCTAGAAAGACTCTCTTAACTACTCTATCTGAGCTAATGCTTTTTCCTCCAAATACCAAAGCCAGCAGCTGTAACTTTAGTGGAAATCAGTAATTTTCAAGGGGAAGCTATCTCAAGCTGAGCATAAGTTGAATAAATTAAAGCTTTTCTAGAACCCAGTTTATCTACAGTTCCTACTTTCGGCTCTCTGGACTTGAAGAACGGATAGTTTGGAGATGGAGGAAAAGAATGTTCTAGGATCAGAACTCAGTGACAGCCAATGTGTGGAGAGTATAGGAAAAACCAATAGCTGTGCTTAGCTGAAGCAAGCGCTGCACAGTAACAGTAGGTGCTGAGCTTGGAAGGGATGATGTGGTCAACTTGGCGTAGAGCTAAGAGACTGAACATCTTCTACAGTCAGTGGAGAGCTGGTAATGGTTCTTTAAGGAGAGCGGAACAATCCTCATTACCTTTTTGCGGAAAAACAATTTTGACGACAATTAACAGCAGAGATTTTGAAAATTTTTGAAGTCACAGCAGCACCCATTCAATTGTAAAGATTTTGTCATGATGGTGGGGAAACTGATTACAAAGCAAGTGACATGGAATGTCTAATGGATAATTCCACCGGCAAAACACAGCATATCCAGGCAACAGACAGTAGTTAGAGCAACACAAACTTCATTATAAAGAACTAACTCAGAATTTTCTCTCTCTGAATACTTT